TAAACACGGCCAAGTTTATTTGTTCATAATTATTTCCCTTCTGCAAGTCTCTTCCTCTCTCCGCACTTGTGTAATTTACCGAAATGTATTTTGCATTTTGTCATGCTCTTTTATTAGCGAAGCTTTTCTAATCTTTGGAGAAAACGAGGAAACTCAAATCAAGTTTTCTGTTGGTGTTGATATAAAATATCGACTTGCAGACAACATCAACAGATAAATTTTAAAGCATGTTATAGGAATAACGTTATACGTTATAGGACGAAACAAGTGAGTAAACATAATCAAAAACATAAATAGACATAAACTATGAGAGGATAAAATATAATTTGTAATATTAATGGTATATTTTTTTAATCAACTAGTGATTAAATGTTTTCTGAACATTTTCTAAAAGTATAATTATGTACCTTTAAAAAATTTCGTTATAGCCGAAATATTCCAAATTATGCCCCACTAGCAAAACCGGTGATTAAAACTATGCTAGCTACCGTAGTCGTAACTGGAATAATAAATTATAATACAAGTTAGACCTTCTGAAGATATCAAAATATTTACTTTTTTATTTTTAGAACTTTCACAAATTATACTTCCTAACACTTAGAATAATTAAATAATATTTTTTTCGTATTCTCGCTATTTAAACTCATGTATTTGTATATACTAGTTGTTTACGATATTCTCCGATGGTGGTAGCATAGGATGAGTAGAGGAAGCAGCAGCAGCAGCAGTAGACAACATCAGCGATATCGGAAATTTTGCAAAGAGCTAGAAATGCTTTAACGCAAAGAAAGAATGAGAGGAAGGTTTGGTGTACACACAATAATACAAGGATATCGCAATGGGTTCAAGGCCTCCGAGTGAGGGATCAAACATGATTCCAAATTCCAGCAATCTAACCTAACCTATAGCTAGTTCATATTTACACCTACCTCCTTTGTTATATAACATATTTGAAATTCGAAACAATATATCTCTTAATTTTTGTACAATATTTGTTTTGTATTTCGCTTAGATTTGATTAGCAAAGACAGAAAGACAGTCAAAGCTGTAATGGGTCTACTAACATTATAAGCTCAATATATATCTGAAGATCAGATGGGATTCACGGACGAAGCCAAGACATGTGTAGGTTTTGTCAATCTGAAGAAGAAGAAGAAACGACAGGATACATTTTGTACAGCCTGGAAAATATGGGGGTCTTTGTACTAGACAATGATAGGCTATTTGCAAAGAACTATATGGAGGGTTCAGTTTCCAAGTTGCTAGAATTTTTGAACAGTATAGGACTGGAGAATGTAGCCTGTAGAAGGATCAGAAGAAGACCACAATTGATCGGAAAAGGTCGCAGTAAATAGGGCCGATAGTCACTTCAAAAATATAATCTTATTTTATTTCGCTTTGTGTATAAATTCTCAAAAATAAACATTCCAACTTCACCTGGTTACTTTTGACATTTTTCTTTATTTTTTTTTGCAAAAGTTTTAAGCAATATGTACAAGTAGGATTACATGTATATTAAAAATATTTCATTATCCAGTCAAAACAGTATTGAAATTTTACTTTATTATACCCTAAAACTTAATTTTAAATTTTGAACTATTTTCAAGTTACAGATGTCATTCTGTGACATCTATCTATAGGGGATACAAAAGTAATTATTATATAATTTCCGAGATAATAAAGAAAATATACTTTAGATATGATTTGTTCACAATAAGGAGTAGTTAGGTATTCCAAATTTCAGAGTTCGCTATATTGGTAAGTGAATAAATGGTATTATTTCGATATTTATATAAAAATCTAATTTATTTTTTTGATTAGAGAGATGTCAATGTAAAGTTTACCTGAAAAATACACTTCATAACCTTTGTTCATAACCCTTCTTTACCACGTCAGTGTGCCATGAAAATAGCTGAATCTCATCCAAACAAATCTGACATTAGTATTATTTCCAGTTTTTTTGTCAAAAACATTTTGTCAAAAATTAAAAGTTGAAATAATGTGGTAAAGCGTTAACATTGAATCCATTGCGGCACCAAATGAACGTGTACCATGACCAAGCAACGAGCCTCGAGTAAATCGAAGAACGTGGACAGTACGGTGAAGATCAAGCGCGATGGTAAAGGTATATCCAGGACCGGCCGCATCACCAACAACCCCTTCCTAAATTTCCTGCGCGAGATGCGCAAGAAAACTATGGGCCTGTCCCCCACTGAGCTCTCATCCAAAGGGGCGGAAATCTGGAGGAACATGACCAAGTCCGAGAAGGAGCCGTACTGCCTGCTGGCCAGGCAGGCCCGCAGGCGCAGGAAGTCGCGCAGGAGGCGCAGGAGACGCGGCAGAGGTGCAGCCGCACCAGGTCCGTGTCCTCTGATAGTCAGGCGGACAGCTTCGTCGAGGCGAGGCGCGGCAGGAAGAGGTCCAGACGCAGGAGGGGGCGCTCCAGGAGGCGCAGGAGATAAAGAAGGAAACGTTGCAGGATTTGTGTGAAAATTTTCGTATATTTTGTAAATAGAACATTTGAAAAGTAAAGTATTATGTTTCATCATGATGTTCTCGTTTTTATTATCCTAGTACAGTAAGGTTTAGACAAATATTGAGATATTTCTTTTATTTCACATCTATTTATCAACAAAAAAGACAAATTTAAATATGAAAAAAAATAATTTTAAAGTTTTAACAATATTTTACAGTCAAAATACAAGTCAAAGCTGTCAAGTGCTCTATGATAAAGATCCTGAAACATCAGA